GGTTGAAGGTAAAATCATCTAACCAGAGAGCAAATATGCATTAGCTCGGATGAAGGGAAAGGAGATATAAACTGAAGAGGAGATCAGCACAACATGAATAAGGCAGACACCGGAGTTGCCCAGGATTGACCCACAGAGAATAAATACTATGACATACACAAGCCTGTATTGAAGGTACTGACAAACCATAATTGATGAGCAGGCACATAGATCTGCAGGCAAGCTGGGCTTCCTCAACTTTTGATTAACAAATCTTCTGTGTGCTTTCAAAGAGTACTCTATCGCTACTATTAATGTTGGCAGGTTGGGTTACAATAGTTATATAAATTTGCTTCCTCCTTGCTAGCACAGTTGGTGAAACGAGGGAGGGATTATATTTTATCCAGCTTTGGATTTCAAAGCACAGGACAGTACCTAAAGTTAGTATCAGTTGCTATCAAACTCACCGTGGTCCCATGTGTCAGAGTAGAACTATGTGCCACATGGTTTTTCAATAGATACAATTTTAGATCATCAGGACTTTCTTAGCAGCAAAGCAATGTTTTGTTCTCTGTACCACCCACAGATTCTTAACATTGCTAGTCTCTCCATAAACATTTGTTGAAACAAGATTAGCTGACGAACTGAGATTCTCACTGCCATCGAGTCGATGCCGACTCATAGTGACCCTATAGGACAGAGTAGAACTGCCCCTGTGGGTTTCTGAGATGGTAACACTTTGAGGGAGTAGAAAGCTCTGTCTTTCTCCCAAGGAGAAGTTGGTGGTTTTGAACTGCTAAACTTTCAGACCACAGCCCAATGAGTAATCACGACAGAAAGAGGGCTCCTGAACTGAGATTCTGGCCATCTTAATGACTGGCTATGGCCAGGTCTGCACAAACAGAGCAGCAATGAAACATATTAATTATCCGTATCACTGAGACTTTAAAATGTGCTAATTTTGGCAAAGTGGATAAGTCAGATTTTGTGTAGCTGAACAAATCCATCATTTAATTTCGATGCCTAGCTTCACTAGTGGATATTGGGCTTCTGTGACGCATTCTTATTCTCTCATGCTTTGTGTTAAAACTGACTCATATGTTTCATATCGATGCCGAGTATTCCCTCTTCTTGGGCACAGGACAAACACCACAACCTACTCCTCATCATCTGTCTCATGGGTGTGCCATTGGGTCCCAGGAAGGTCAGCTGAAGGCGGAGCATAGATGACTGGGAAATGACCGCATTTAAGGACCACACCTCACTGGGATACTGCATCACTGATATTTCCTTCAAGTCCTAAACTCAGCGTGCTGCCTAACTAAGTTCACATTCAGCTCATGAGTTCTCCAAATGAAGCTTGAGTAACCCTCCAGACAAAAGGCAAGGTGGGTCTCTCGAGACATTTACCTTTGGGGATGAAAATAAATCCTTACTGGATTTTAAGGATTATTAGAGGAAGACGATGTCACATTTCAAACAAACCAACCGCTTTATTATCTATGATATATAGGTACATTTATTGGCCTCTTTCCTTTTCTGGCTCATTCAAGCAGGAAAAGCAAAGTTAAACAACTAAACAAATGAATAGAAGTTTACATCCTTGACTTTTAATCTTTTGTCACTTCTGTGAGAATGTAATTCATTTCCTTATGTATGTGAGTCCTGGTTAAAAAATGAAAACCAAAAGTTTTTATTTGGTTTTTTTTTTGTAATATCATGAAAATCAAACAATAATATCTGGAAAGCACTTGAACTTATAGAATATTTTTTCAGTTTACAAGTAACTATTTAGTTAGCAAATAAATGAGGGTGGCAAAATTGAATATATAACTCTATTAAAGATTAATAGACATTGGCTTTTCTTAAGTTGTAAAAGTTTATAAAGGGTAAGGTGAGTCTTTTTTAAAAAAATGAGTGGTAGGATGACAAGTTAATGAATGACAACAAGACTGCTTTAAAATTCACTACTTTGGACAGAATACAGAAGTAGAAATAACTGAGAAATCTGAAAAATCCCAGTATTAATATCATCATTACTGGTTATTTCATGACTTTGGGATGACTTTCTAAAACAGAAAATAAGTAAATCCTAATTATAATAGGACTAAAATAAATAATATCTAATTCCTAGGTGTTTTTTTATTTTTATTTTTTTGAGAAGTATATAAAGTGAAGCAAAGTGGCCTTGAAACCACAGAGTGCTGGACAAGGCGAAGACATTATTCTTATTACTCTGGCATGTGGGTTTGGACGGTGATCATGGCAGGCATGGCCTGATGCCTGCCATCAGATGCACTGCAAATGCTCTGCTGTGAGTGTATGAGATGATCATAATTGCAAACTAACTTTTGCTCAAATTCAGCCAAATAGTCTATAGTTCGCATTTCTTCAAAAATTCAAGTCCTTTTCTTATAACTCTGGTGATGTAGTAGTTACGAGTTGGGATATTAACTGCAAGGTCAGCAGTTCAAAACCACCAGTAGCTCTGTGGGGAAAAGACTAGGCTTTCTACTCCTGTTAAGAGTTATAGTCTCGGAAACCTACAGTGGCAGTTCCACCCGGTTCAGTAGGGTTTCTATGAGATGGAAGAGCTGACAGTGAGTTTGCCTTGAGTTTCTCCTATGACTTTCCATGCACTTTTGTAGGACAAACTCATTATCAAGTTGGGGAAGTGGCATGGGGGCCACATCTGATCTCCTCCTGCCACACAAGTGAAAAAGAAATTGGAACCCTACCTCTGCCCAAGGGTAATTCCTAGGAGGCCTTTACCCTCCTATGTTCCCACCCCTCCTTCCCAAGGCATGCTGCTGTTCTGCTGGTTTCACTAATACACTGCAATGGGCACAGAGAACTCACAGACAATACTTAAATTATAGAAGATTATTAGGGAAATTTGGAGTTGTCACAAGTCAGGATCAGCAAACATTAAGGATACTGTCCTTTTGACTGCAGTGTTCCTTCTCCACCATACTGCCAGGCATGGCTCTTTGATCCTTTGGCCTCTGCCTGGCTGCAGCACGTGTTACAAAGCTTCTGTAGCACTGATAAATGCCCAGGGACATGCCAATTAGCAAGCCAGCTTCCTGCCCAAGGGCACTCAGCTTCACACATTTCCTTGAGTGGGATGCTCCTAGCTCCTCTGCTCTATTTTGTGGTCTGAGTGCTGGGGCTTCTGGTGTCCCTGCTGCCTCTCCCACTTAAGGCAGGGATCCTCTACATGGCTCATGTTGGTCGCCCTTCTTACTTGATGATTGTGGAATCGTGGAATGGTGTTCCTGCTTCTGAGAAGCCTCACTTGTATATCCAGTGGAATGGCAAAACTGACCAAATTCCAAGACACTCTCGCCCTGTCACTGGGTGGAAGTTATGAAGACTAAAGACAGAAGGGCCAGACCAAGTAGTGTCACTTCACCACATAAACCTAACTCGTATTTTAAGTTGTGAAACAAGAGAAACTTCATAAGAGGGTTTGAGCCCTAGGTTTCCTTGATTTTCTCATGTCAGATACAATTTTAGTAACTCTTGGTTAGGCTTCTAACACAAATAAAAGAAAGAAACCTTAGAAAAGAGAAAGGGGGGAAAGGTGCACTAGACTGGTATATAAATTCATAGTGGTAAAGATAAAAAACCAGACCTTGCACCAAAAAAGAAGAAACTTCAGACCAGGCATGCAGCATCTGTACTTCAGGAGGGGCCTTCGTGGCGGAGTGATTACATAATGGACTACTATCAGCAAGGTCATCAGTTTGAAACCACCAGTTACTTCTCAGGAGAAAGACAGCTTTCTATTCCCATAAAGAGTTACAGTCTTGGAAACTAACAGGGGCAGTTCTACTGTGCTCTATAGGACTGCCATGAGTTTGGCATTGGCTTGATGGCAGTGGGTTTGGTTTTGATTTGGGTATGAGGATCAGGAACTAACCCAGACACAATCCACTATGTTTTTAAGGGAAAGGAGAAGCACCCAGAGAAGACCAGTCATTTTAATGAAGATGAGACTTCCTCGAAAAAGTAGTATTTTTCACCTAGCTTTCTCTCTGTGAGGCTTGCTGACAGCCAAAATGCAGGGTATTTTCTCCCCCTTTAGCTTCAAGCCATGGCTTTTTGCAAAGATTCCACTGAACCACAAGAAACTATCTTTATTTTACTAAATGCCATTCGTTCTCAATTATTTTCAATAAGACTCCTGCCCAGCACTATTAGGAGCTGGCTAGAGTAAGGTAGAAACATCATTCTAGTTCCCTGGGCATTGTCAAAATGATTCCTCTTCAATAAAAGTATTATGAAGTATTATGAAGAACCTTGACCAAGATAGTCCTCTCCCAAATACTTTTCTAAGGAAGTAGCTGCAAGACTTCTATTTATTTTGTTATTAAAAATTAGGTGCCAGAGGAACTCCCTCCCTCCACCAGCTATAATCACACAGATTTTTTCATCTGAAAAACAATGACATGTGATATTACCATGTCACCATATGTCCTGGTTCCCAAAGTATTATACAAAGCACATCTTAAGGGATGTTATAGTGTTGTGTGTTAAAAAAACGAAAAACATTCCAAATAAGTGTGGGAATCACTCAATTAAACTAGGCTAAACAGGTTTCTTTTCTACTGGATTTCTCAACTCTACACTATGTGTTGTGACACTTTCCTTTAAAAAAAAAAGTTGATGTAATGTATTTGACTACGGAACCCTCTGTCAGGAAACTATAAAAATCTGAAAGAATGGCATATAGAGACATGGTAGGGAAATGCCAGTCTAGGATATGGAAAAAATAGATATGTCAAAGAGTTCATTTTCACGGTGCCCATCTAATAGAGTTGCCTTTGCTTGCTTGAGTCCACTCATGTCTGTGCACATGAGCACAGAGAGCCAGCCTGACACCAGGTTCTGCTGACGCAAGAAGCAGATACAGATTGCTTTGTGGGAAGAGAAAAAGAGAATTCATCAGCTCCAAGAACCCTCAGAGGTCCCCCCTCCTTCAAGTGACAGTCATTTTAGGAAATGGTTTAAGTTACCTTTTCCATGAAGCCACAAGGTCCCGACATGATTTCACCTTATTTTCAGGGGGGGGGCACTCAATGCATCTGTGAAATGAGAAGAGCCCCATTACAAAACACAACACAGTGCCGCCTCCTCACTTCTACTCCTTCCCGGGGAGCTGGATGCACAGTTTAAGTGAGGACAACCCACAGTATGTAAGAGAGAAAGTTTAGCAGCAAAACTTGATACCCAATGTATCTATTTTGGTAGCAATCACTCATAGGCAATTTCGCATTTTCTACCCCCAGACCTGTGGTGCTCATTCTATATCTAGTGCCAAGATGGCTGAACACTGGTGACAATGGTTTGATGGCTGTTTCAGCTACTAACTAGAGGGACTTAAATTGGGTCTCCACCTGAGAAGACTCTTCTCATAATCAGAAAAAATGATAGGCTTTTTTCCCTCAAAGGATGGTGGGTAGAACTTAGGTTTTCTCTCTTTGCGTGAAGCTCCTCTTGTCCCGAGCGAAGCAGAGCCTCCCACAATACTACAGTAGCGCCGGAGCGTGTTCGGCGGCTGTGGCAGCTCAACCATGCAATTTTATAGCAGGCAGCAAACAAGGCAGAGAATTCAGGGTTAAAAACTCAAGTGAAGTTTTGTCTTCCACAGTAATGAAAGCTGACTAAAAGAGTAAATCAAATGGATCTCCTAACAAAATGAAAACAGCTGTTTGGCCTGGTTTGGTCTCTGATTTAGGTTAAGTAATTATTGCTCTAGTGTGGTTCAAGGTTGTTCTGTATTAGTGAAATAAGATATCACATGAAAATCATCCAACTTTTTAATTTACTGTAGCATCAGAAATTCCACTGTATAAAAAATTCCAGAAACGTAATCTTCTAAAAACTTACCTATAAACCTTTTCAAATACCAATTGATTAAATCTTTCAAGACATAATTATAGAATACATAATTACATTATAGTAATAACCTTTAGTATCTATGCTGAGAAAACATTTTAATATATTAACTTTAAAACAGTTTTTTTTTCCATTTTTACTGGAGTGATATATTATATCCCAATTCCCATATAACTGTAAAGCTTATTTGTGTGTGTGTGTGTGTGTGTGTGAGTGTAGAATCTTTTTCATGAAAATCAATGAATAGCTATTTCTTGAATCCCAAACAAATCTGTTTTAATAGTACAAATAGTGCAAATCTTTTAAAAGTTTTTCTTTTGTTTGAGCATAGCACACCACGAGTAGTTGGCAAGAAACCCAATTACAATGAAGTACTGCAGAAAGAAAGTAGTTAAAACAGAGCTTTCTTTGAATGAACACTATTGAAAGTGAAATAAATCACTCAAGTCATTTTAAATTTCATTTCTTCTTTATGGATTTTTATTTTTCATTTCTCAGTCACCATCACTAGTGTTCTTCTACTCTGACTGAAATACTTTTTTTTGCTTAAGCTCACCTATTACAACAAAGAACAAATCAATGATAGGATGCTGTTATTTTTCACAATTTTTTAGTAATTTGTTTTAATTTTTTTAACCCTAAAAATACTACTTGACATTATTGTAAGGTGCCATCAAGTTAGTTGCAACTCACAGTGACCCTGGGTGCACTAGACAAAAGCATGGTCAATCCCAGACCATCCTCACAATTGTTACTGAGCCCACTGGCTCATTTTTGCCACTGTGTCAGCCCATCTTGGTGAAGGGCTTCCTCTTTTTTTCTCACACATGATGCACTTCTACAGAAATTGGGTCCTCCTAGTAATGTGACCAAAGTACATCAGGCAGTCTCGCCATCCTTGCATCTAAAGAGCATTCTGGTTGTATTTCTTCTAAGACGGATTTGTTCATACCACAATGTAGTCGATATTTTTTACCAAAACCCTAACTCAAAGGCACCGATCCTTCCTTGACCTCTTTTATTCACGGTCCAGCTTTCACACGCATATGAGGCAACTGAAAATACTGTGACTTGGGTCAGGCCCACCTGAGATAGCTTTGCTTTACCATTTTAAGAGTCCTTTTGCAGCAGATTTTCCCAGTGCAGGATGGCCTTTGATTTCTTACCTGCCCCTTCCATGAATATTGACTGTGACAAGAGTAAAAGGAGCCCTTGGAGAGTTCCTCCATTTGTCACGCTGTGGCATATTGGTCCATCATGAGGGTTTTTGCTTCCTCTATTTTCCCGTTGATCTTCATCGGTTGGTGAGTGCTTGCAGTCTTCTTTATTTTCAACAAACAGGGTCATGTCAGCTGCAGGTGAGTCAGTCTCCAATCTTCAAAATAATGTCATTTCTTGGATTATTTAGTCAGTCTATAGATTGAATAAATTCGATACAACCCTGAGGTGCACTTTTACTAATTTCAAACTGGGCTCTGTTTGAACATATTCAAATGCCTTTGCAACTTTACACTGGTAAACATCTTCCTAGAGTGTATTCTCTGCTTTCAGCCAAAATCCACCTGACCTCATAGCAATGATACCCCTTGCTGCAGGTCCTCTTCGGGGTCTGGTTTGAATCCATCTGCTGTTTCTGGTTAATGTACTGCTGCCATCATTCTGGAGTTATCTTCAGCAAAATGTTACTTGTGTGTGAGACTAATGATGTTGCTTGATAATGTCTGTGTTCTGTTGAATCAAATTTCTTTGGAATGGGCACAAATATATTTTCCAACGATTACCCAGGTAGCTGTCTAGTTTTTTTCGCCCCAGCATTGCATCTGTTTTTTGAAGCATCTCAATTCCATAAAGTTCTGAAGTCTTCTTTTTCAGCAGTGCCTTCAGTGAACCTTTACTACTGCCTTCAATACGATTGGTTCTTGGTCATATAAAAATGGTTGAATGCTGATCAATTATTTTGGGTAAACTAACTTTGCGTACTCCTCCCATCTTTTTTCAACACTTCTCGTGTCTTTCATTATTTTGCCAATAGGTTCTTCAATATTGCAGTCTGAAACTTGTACTTTTTCTTCAGATACAAGATATATTAAATTATTGAAGATAATAAATATTAAAGTATTTGCCTACTTTCTCTGGCTCTTAATATATATTAATGTATATGTCTAAATATATGTTAACATATATCCTTATATATATTCATATATTTAAACACATTTATAAAACGTATATATGCTTAGGTATGTATTCTAAATCTGATAAATATTTTAATTATAGGATAGTATTACTTCAATGAAGTGACATCTTTAGAGCATTTTCATTCACATGGGTACATTCAACTAAGTTCCCAACCAAAGACAGAGATTTACTGAGTCAGAAAATTAATGTCTTGAAGAAAATTACTTAGGTGGTTTAAAGGCCGAGTCTCAAATGCTCTTGTTCTAATTATTACTCTTGGACACAGAACATGACATATTTATCTTTCCACTGGGATACAGGTTTGAAGCTTAATAATCTAAAAAGTATTTCTTACTATTCTCACCAATCATTCTCATTAGCAGTTGCCATCACATCAAAATAACAAGAAACAAGAGTTGCATGTGTTATTTCTCCAAATAGTTTGCACACTATGATCCTTCATTGGGGGGATGAGAGGGGTGGGGGTGTCAATATTCCTTACACTGAAGAAATATGTCATTTTCAAGGCTCCTATTCAGAAATTGTGTTGGGGAACTCGGTCACCAGTATTTAATTTACCTAAGGATTACAGAGGAACTCAATGAAAAGCAATATTTAAATGGAAAGTAAACTTTTCCCTTTCATACAGTTAATGTATAAATTCTGCAAACAGAGATCTCTAAAACTGACAGGGCACAAAAAGTCAGTCTACAGTCTCAGTTTCTTCACTGTGAGTGGGTGACAGAGAGGAATGGTCCTACCACATTGCAAGTTTCCTATTGGTTGCTGTTGTTTGTCAAAGGCACAAAGTACACTCCTGTTACTGTATAATATTTACTGTATAGCATACAAATATTTATTTATTCAAAGTCAAAAGTAAAAAAAAAATGGGGTATAGTTGGAGCAACTTCAAGTGCACATCTTTAAGTGTTGAGTCAAATAAAGTATTAAAAGGCTAAACTGCATTCGTTTCTTGAAAAACACATTTCCTTCATTAACATAAAAATCGTATTTGCAGATAAAATCCCTATGCTGAGAAGAGAATCTTTCTTCCTGAAAATTTCTGACCTTACTCTAGATCATTTTACTTTTTTTGAGCTCTGGATGTCTCTCTCTAGCCTGCATTCAGTCCCAATATTCTTCCCTCTGAGATACCATTCCTTTAGTTGTCATAGCTGCACCGATTCCATCTTTGAAAGGAACGAGTTTGGAAGCTACACTTTGAAGGTCTTTGTATTTTTTCTATCACCAGTCTATCATCTTGCCGTCTTGGCGTCGTTTGGAAGGGGCTATAACGTGATGATGCCAGGACAAGGGTATTTCTAACACCATGAGGGTCAACCATGGTGGACAGGTTTCAGAAGAACTCCCAGACTGAGACAAATTGGGAAGACAGATCTGTCTGTCTGTCTGTCTGTCTGTCTGTCTAAAATTAGCCAGTGAAAACCCTATGACTCATAAGAGTATTGTCCCATAGTGCTGGGAAATAATCCCCCCCAGATTGGAAGGCACTACCGAGTAGTCACACTAATCTACAAGGCCACCCCTTCGCTTCCTAGGCACTTCTTCACTTGGCATTGGCTAGAATGTGAGAACAAACCAGACCCAACTTAGCGCCATACAGTTGAGTCCCATGTACCATAGAATTTTCAAGGCTGTAAATCTTTGACAAGACAGGGGGTTGGTAAGCCCAAACTGCCAACCTATCTCTTAACCAATACTGACCCTCCAGAGTCCTTCCAAAAGGAGACAATAATTCAATCTTCATATCCTCTACTGGTTAGTGGCAGCCGCATTAAAGGCTAGGAACTTCCAGGAGGAGCCTAGTCATTCAAGACCTGTGCTGCTAACAGAAAAACTGGTTTGAACTCAGCAGCCTCTGCTGCAGTCTGCTTCTCTACAAAGAAAAAAATACACACACAGGGGAAGACAAGAGATTTCTAGTAAAGATCAGCCATGAATTCTATGTATTGGAAACTTTCATAGTAAAATATCCATTCACCTTATTAAA